AAAATTTAATTAGTTTTTACAACTGGACAAAACATTCAAAATTTACTGCAGAGTAAATAAAATGCAATACTATAATCTGATCTAAGTTCATTCTTCATCAACCCTATTTTTACCATATAAAAAAGAGAATATAAAATCACCTCCTGATTGGGATTGACATGTATACACTGATGTGTATAAAATTGATGACTAATAAGAACCTGCTGTATAAAAAAATAAATAAAATTAAATTTAAAAATTTAAAAAAATAAAATAAACTTGCCTCCTTTGGTGACTTATTCAAACAGCCTTTTTAGGAATGTAAGTCAAAATAAAGCAGGAAAACTACCTTTTATTTTCCTGTATTATGTATGTGTACTAAGAATATTTAAGAATGTAAAAGACTGAAATATTTATTTCTGAAAACATATTAATCAAATCTTAAATTCTTGGGCAAAAATTTCAACGACATAAATGAGTTGCTAATATATACTGGACTCCCCATTTCTGCCTTTGTCCCTATTCTATATATTCTCATCCAAGCAGCCAAAGAGATCTAGTCCAAATATTACACTTACTTAACACGAGTTATATCACTCCTCCACTCAAAACAATCCCACAACTTCCTAAATCACTCAGGAGAAAAGGTCAAGGTCCTCACAAAGGTCTCTAGAAGGCCCTACACAATCTGGACTCCTGTTCCAGTTATCTACTGCTGCATAACAAAACCACCCCAAATCTTAGGTACTAAAAATAACATTTATTTTGGTCACAAGTTTGCAGTTTGGGTGAGGACAGCTCAACTCTGCCCCACTTGCAGTCATCTGTAATAGTCTGAATGCTGGAACTTGGGAGTCATCTGAAGGTCACTCACTAGTGTCTAGAGGTTGATGCTGGTTGTTGGTGCTGCCTGTTGGCCAGGAACTTGGCCGTAGCTATGACCAACTTGGCTTCCTCATAGCATGGCAACTCACTTCCAAGAATGAGCACCCCAACAGACAGAGCCAGGTGGAAGCTTTATCACTTTTTCTAATCTACCCTAATCTCATTTCTGCCACATTCTATATGATGGAAATGAAACATTAGGGGCAACCCATATTCAAGGAATTAGACTCCACCTTTCAATAGAAGAGTGCAAAAGAATCTGCAGACATTTTTGGAGTCACCACAACTCACCTTACCTCTGAGCTCATCTCCTATCACTGTCCCCCTTGCTCACAAAGCTTCTGCCACCAGTCAGGTTTCCTTGAATATGTCACGCACACTCCCACCTCAGGGCCTTTGCAGTTGCTGTGTCCCTGCTTGCCTGGAAAGCTCTAGTCCACTCCATCACCTTTTCCAAGTTGTGATTTAAATGTCATTCTCTCAGTGAGGCTTTCCTTGCTACTCAACACTCTCTAGTACCTATCCCTGATTTATATTTCCTCCTTTGCAATTATTATTACCTAACATACTTTATATTTTCTTTATTTATTTTCTTCTCCCTTACAAGAATATAAGCTACATGAGAACAGGGATTTTTATTACTTCCGTTCACTGCTGTACCCTTAGTAACTACAGCAGTGCCCAGAATTCAGTAGTAACTCAAAAAACATCTGTTAAATGATTATTTCAAAATAATGAAAAATATAATGTTCCTAACACAGGAAAATGGATCCATAAACCTGAATAAGTCATACTTTAGGAATTCCTCTTCAAAACTGTAAGTCACTTGACAATAACTTTAATTACAAATAAACTAACCAAATATGTCAAAACAAAACAAACTATCAAATAAAATTAAATCTTTTGAGAAACAATAGTAATTTTTCAGAACTATTAAAAGGTTACCTTCAATGCACAAAATATGCAGGCATCTTTCTGACAAACATGTCCAGTCAGAACCCGCAAGCTTCTTCGGAATATATCTAATTGCCATAAAACCTAAAAAATAGTGAGATGTGAAGAAAGAAAGAAACACAGTAATATTTTTCTCACTGGGATGAAAGACAGATTTAATTATTTTTTAAATTGCGGGAGGCTAATAACTTCTTTTAATCTCTTGTACATAATCAGATATATACTACTAAAAATAGTAAGTATAAAACTGCTATATACATGTAGTTCATATATAAAAGATGGATTTAGAAAATATTACCATGGATTCACATGTAAAAACAGAACAAGAAAAAAATAACTCCTCAGTTAAGGAATTTATATGAACAGGAAACAAGGGATACTGAATGCAGGACTTGGCAAAGACTTGAGAGAGGAAGTGATTATAATACTTGGAATGAACTGAAATTTAGGAAGGAAATATAATTGCAGTTAAAAGTCAGGGTGTACCAAATAAGGGTCAGTGTGTAGTGGCAAGAAAAAAGGGCAGAAGCCCGTGTGGTCATTGTATACTGAGTAAAGAAGCGGGCATCTGTGTAGTCATGGGGGTACAGCATAATATGAAGCAGCAGTTAAAAAATAACCTGAATATATTTGCTGCAATTACTACTAAAAAAACGAAAACAAAATAAAAAAGACTGTAGTTGTTTAAATAAATCAGTCTAATACTTAAACTCATTCTAGAAAAATCTGAAATTTATACAATGGGGATAATTGTGTCAGCCTCATAGACCGCTTGTAAGGATTAAATATATGTATGTAATAATGTGAAGTGTTTAGAGCAGTGCCCAGTACACAAGTGGCATGCATTGAATGCAACCTGCTATTTGTTGCTGTAAATACTATTACAACAAACAACTAAGATTATTTCCTCAAATAATAAAACCAAGAACATCCATTCACCATCTCACATTTCTCCCAACAACAACAACAAAAAGTTAATAAAAACAAATAATTTTAAAAGTTTCCTATTTTTTAATAACTCAGTAACTGAGTTATTAAATTCTGAAAGCCATTTCAGAATTTCTCTGATAGTTGCTTTTTCTTAAAGCATAACTAATAGGATCCATTTAGTTATCACAAATAACTCAGTTTTGCAAAGCACTTGAAAATGTTTAATAACTTTCTTGCACATCATATTCTATCATACCATAAAATATACATTAAAATTCATTCATTTGTCAAGATGAAGGTCACGACAGCACAGCTGTGGGAAGTGCACAGCACTGTAGTTAGTGATACACCCTCTGAAGACAGGCTGCCTGGGTTCTAATTCTGGCTTTACTGTTTACAGCTCTTGGGCTGACTTGAGCAAAGTATTTCCTGAAACTTAGTTTTCTCATCACTGAAAGGAAGATAAAAGTAGTCCTATCTCTTAGGATCACTGTAAGAACTAGATTAGATAAAACACAGTGTACCAATGCACAGTAAGAGCACAATAAATGTTAGCTATTAAATATTTTAACTTTGCTTTTAACTTACAGAACTCAAAACCACACCAATATGTCATACCTACTTAACTGTACCACTTTCTCATCAAATAAAAGTTCAAAATATTCAGCCAAAAGAGAAAACTCTATAATCTGCTTATAAGGCTTACGAATGTAATGTTTTCTAGGGTTAGCAAAATGTTTAACTTACACTGGATCTAAACTACATAAAAAATATTTTATGTGACTTCTCTGTATACTACTCAATATAAAAGTTTAAAAATGATTTTCACAAATCCATACCAAAACTTATCTTCATTATAGTTAACCTTTATCCTATTTTAAAATGTTGATTATATTCTACCACCTGTTTTAAGTTAAAGCCTAAGCTAGTTGTTGGACTAATTCGTTTTTAGCAATATAATTTTATAATATAAACATTTTTCTTTTGCATTATTTCCATGTTTCATTTTAACATGTTACCTAACAAAATTAATGTAGTTATTTTGAATGTTTATGCATGTTTCTTATTTAGTTATTCCCCAAAGATTAATACATATATGCATATGCATTTAATAAAGGAATATAAACCTTTCATCATATTCCTGACCTCAAAATAATATAAAAAATAAAAAAAATTAAGGGGAAATGGCATATAGATTCATTTTTCTTACGTATATTACACCCAAAACATTTTAATAATGTCCATTTTTAGTAATTTCTTACAAACCGTATTTCACAATTTATTTCTCAGCAGTTTAAAAAGTACTCATCAAACTGCATATTAGCATTTATATTCTGAATTTTTAAAAATGAAGTCAGGCTTTTTCTGACAGAAGTCTACTTGAATAGCTGTTTTGTCAGTGAGGACTGGCTTTCTAAATTAGTTTATACACTAGACATTTTAACATCAGGGGCCAGCAGATTCCCTGGGTTGAAGGGATGGAGATGGGAGTTCAGGGAAGCCAAAGCAGCTACAGTTGGCGGGGCAGAGTGCTGCAGTGGGGAGAGCTGCACACAGTTAACACCAGAGCTCGCGAGGGGGCCTCTCGAGTATTCAGGTGAGCACTGTGAGGAAACTACCTGAGACCAGGAAAGAAAATCCCAAAAGATTAGATGTAATGCCCAAAGCACATATCAGTTCAGGGCAGTGCCTGTTCTCAACAGCCAAAGTGGAAAACATCATAATTCACAGAGCATCAGTTAATGAAAGAACTGTCCCTCCCCACTAGCAGAGAAATTAACCCCAGAATAAACACAGTTCTGGTAATGCTTACAAAGCTTAAACATAAAATGATCAAACTGTTTCTAAATAAACTAATCCTATCCCAGAACAATGTTCAAGAATATTTTTAGGAATATAAAAATACCCATCACCCAACAAAGTAAAACATAAAATGTCATCTGACATCCAATCAAAAATTACCAGGCATGGGCTTCCCTGGTGGCGCCATGGTTAAGAATCTGTCTGCCAACACAGGGGACACGGGTTTGAGCCCTGGTCCAGGAAGATCCCACATGCCACGGAGCAACTAAGCCCGTGCACCACAACTACTGAGCCTGCACTCTAGAGCCCATAAGGCACAACTACTGATGCCCGCATGGCACAACTACTGAAGCCCGCACGCCTAGAGCCCAGCTCCACGAGAAGCCACCACAATGAGAAGCCTGTGCATCGCAATGAAGAGTAGCCACCGCTCACCTCAACTAAAGAAAGCCCACACACAGCGACTAAGGCCCAATGCAACCAAAAATAAATTAATTAATATATTAATTTTAAAAAATTACCAGGCATTACAAGAAACAAGAAAATATATTCCAAACCTAGAAAGAAAAGAAAAAACAACAGAATTTGCACAGACAGAATTAGTAGACAAGTACATTAAAACAATTATTATACCTGTATTCATATATTCAAGAGGTCAGAGAAAAGATTGGACATGTTAAGTACAGACACAAGTGATTTTTAAAAGACCCAGAGCAAACTTCTAAAGGTGAAAATTACAATGTCTGAGATTTAAAAATACACTGGTGATATTACTAGCAGATTAAATAAACATTGCAAAAGAAAAAAATTAATGAACTTGAAGACACAGCAATACAAACCTATAAAATGAAAGAGAGAAAAACAAAAGAGTAAGAAAGACAATGAAGAGCACATCAGTGAACTGTGGGACCTAAAGCAACCAACTGTATCAATAACTGGAATCCCCCAAAGGAGGGGAGGGATAGAAAAATTTGAATAAATAATGGTCAATGAGTTTCCACATTTTTTAAAAATTTATTTTTATTTTACTTATTTTATTTTTGGCTGTGTTGGGTCTTCATTGCTGCATGCGGGCTTTCTCCAGTTGTGGCGAGTGGGGGCCACTCTTTGTTGCGGTGCGCGGGCTTCAGTACTTGTGGCACACAGGCTCCACAGCTGTGGCTCATGGGCTCTAGGGCACAGGCTCAGTAGATATGCTGCATGGGCCTAGTTGCTCTGCGGCATGTGGGATCTTCCCGGACCAGGGCTCGAACCCATGTCCCCTGCATTAGCAGGCGGATTCTTAACCACTGTGTCACCAGTGAAGCCCATCCACATTTGATTAAAATTATAAAGCCATGGGTCTAAGATGCTCAATGAACCCAAACACAAGAAGCATGTAGAAAACTGTATCAAGGCACATCATAACCAAATTGCTTTAAACCAGTTAAAAAAAAGAAAATCTTAAAAGCAGCCAGAAAAAAAGGGGCACATTACAAACACAAGAACAAAGATAAGAATGACAATAGTTTTCCAGGAGAAGTAATGCAAGCCAGAAGACAGATGAGCAAAATCTTTAAAATACTAAAAGAAAAACTGTCAACTTAAACTTCTTTAATGAATGAAAATATCTTTCAATAACAAAAGTCATCCTTCAAGCAGAAGAAATGATACCAGATGGAAAGCTGGATCCACACAAAGGAGTGATGAGCACCATAACTGGTAGCTATGTAGATAAGTAGAAATAACCTTCATGGCAAAGGTCAGTGGGCTGTTCTTTTTTTTTTTTTAAATATATCAACATAGGAATACTTCTCCATTTTCTTTACCACATAAGTGTCCTTGCTCAGAGTTTTCTTTTGTTATAAGAAGCTTTTCATCTCCTTAAACTACACACAGTATTTTGGGAGCCAAAAAAAGGGACAGACACAGAGGGAAATACATAAATGTAAAAAAAGAACTGGAAAAGGGGTAACAGGAAAAGATTTGAAATGATAGAAGCTCTTTCTCAGAGCCTGATTCAATAAAAGCATATAATTCCATGTCTTTTGGAGTCTGGTATTTCTCTATATCAGGTGTCATTCAATAAATAAATAAATATTTATTTATTATTTTATATTCAATAAATAAACATATCGGGTGTCATTCAATAAATAAATATATAAATATTTTCCTGCCCTTGTCACAGCACTTAATGCCAAAGGGATCCTTCAGCCAGGGCAGAACAGTGACTGTCATTTAAAGGTCCCAACATAAACTTAATGCTTTTCTAATACCAATTGCTTCTGTTTCCCTGACTGAGTTATAAAACTTTCAAGTTTGACATATGTCCTGGACAGCAGACAATTAAGAACACAAGTCTGAGTCAGATGTCTGAGCACCTGACACATTCTAGATGTGTTCATTTACCAAATGAGTTAATTAAGCAACAGTTCTCTTTCTACTCTCAGTTTTCAGGAGGAAAAAAAAAGCAGTAGAAAGAAAACACGTTAAAAGCTACTTATTTTCAATAAAATCTTTTAAGGTATATTCTAGCGTCAATAGAGTAACGTTCCAATATTCTAAATCTTCCTCATCCTTAGTACTATACAATCAACGGTCAGAAGGATATAGGCCCCTACAAAATCTGAAAATGTTGAATAAAAACTATCATATATAAGAAAAGATATTTATGTAAGGCAGAATTATTAATTACAGGATTAATACATATTTGCTAATTAAAAGAATTTCAACAAGGACTGAATCAAAATAAATTAACCGTTAATTTAACTACTATAGTGGTGTCCAAATTATGATTCTACAGAGGGGATTTAAGGTCACGGTGGGGTCGGTGAAAGGAATTTGAGTACTGAGATTAAAAACTCTGCATTCTTGGGCTTCCCTGGTGGCACCATGGTTGAGAGTCCACCTGCTGATGCAGGGGACACGGGTTCATGCCCCGGTCCAGGAAGATCCCACATGCCACAGAGCAACTGGGCCCGTGAGCCATGGCCGCTGAGCCTGTGCGTCCGGAGCCTGTGCTCCGCAACAGGAGAGGCCACAACAGTGAGAGGCCCGCGTACCGCAAAAACAAAACAAAACAAAAAACTCTGCATTCTCATTTCAATCCACACAGCTTGTTTCTTTTTATGCTCTCTATGGGGATCCTACTGGATTTCTTAAACAAAAAAAAAGGGAGGAGAGAGGGGTTGACTAGCTAATTCAAAAAAATAATTTTATGTATTTTAGAAACATTCTTAATTTACTAAGTAAACATTTTAAGCCACAAGATATTTTTATATCCTAGCAATGTATCATTCTGTTGAAAAAAACATTTCCATTTATTATAAAAACCAAAATGCGCAGTCAAAATATTTTGCTACTATTAAAAGTGATATTAAAAAGTCATTCTAGTCAATAATAACTTTATTCTTAATTTACAAGTTAAAGAAGGATTAAGCAAAGAATTTCCTGAAAGGCACTTTTTAAAATTTAACAAGAAAAAAAAAAAAACATTTAACAAGAAATTATGGTCTCACCTGTACAGCACTATTAAGAAAGCAGCTGTTTTGTCCTGGTTCATTCAACAAGCCTTTGGTAGGGGCTAGGGATAGCATACTCCCAGGTTGATAAGCTTTTCCAAGATTTCCACCAGGTTTCCGTAAGAATTTTACCCATGCCATTTTCAAGCAACTTTGTTTGCATTAAAGCTAAGAATTATATTCTTATGTGATACTTCTGATGATAAAATGGATGGTTTCTTGAATGATCCGCTTAAATTCGCTGCAGTCAATTACCATAACATAAGTTTCCAAGTCCATATCTTTCCTGATGCTGTAGTTTTGAGGACTTTGTCAAGTAAAAAAAGGATACATAAGCATTGAAGTTCTGAAAACTAAAAAAGAAAGCTATTTTAAACAAGGCCTTAAAGATTTAAAAATCTTTGTGTTAAATTTTATAAGAGTACAGTTTAAGGTGAAAAAGATTTTTTAAAAACTGCTAAAGTAACATTGATGAACAAATCATATTCTTTAAAGCACAAGTCATTTGTCTTGTTAGTTTTAAAAACAGATGATACAAAAAGATGTAGAGTTAGCATTTGGTATGATTCATTTGGTCATTTGTTTTCCTTGCATTTCTTTAATAAGAAAGAAGTCTTTCTCTTTCCCAGGTGAAGTTATTAAAGGTGACTCCATATTTCATACCAATGTGACCTCAAAGCAGACCTATAAGAAAAAAAAGAAATGTTTAAATAAAAGTAAAGGCTAATAAAGAAAATTCCTACTTTACTATATGAATACAAATATTGAATACATAATTAAAATATTATATATATAATCATAAAATGATTAGAACTAATAATGTTCTTAAAATATGAAAATGAAAACACAGTTCATCATTTAAATTTTCAAAACATATCAAGGTGACATCAATCGCTACCTACTTTAAGATTTCAATGGTCATATGATGGTTTCATATTCTAAAGAAAACTAGAATCAACTTAGATCTCAGGTAGTGTTTTGAATAATACTAACTTTGCTGCCAATACTATATTGCTGTTTACTAAACAGAGACTCTACAGAGACTCTATATTGTTATCTATATTACAGAGAATCATACCATTTCTGCAAGAAAGTCAATAGACTTTATGTAAATTGACATGCATTAAAACTCAGAAGAGGGCTTCCCTGGTGGCGCAGTGGTTGAGAGTCCGCCTGCCAATTCAGGGGACATGGGTTCATGCCCCGATCCGGGAGAATCCCACATGCCGCGGAGTGGCTGGACCCGTGAGCCATGGCCACTGAGCCTGTGCGTCTGGAGCCTGTGCTCCGCAACAGGAGAGGCCACAACAGTGAGAGGCCCGCGTACCACAAAAAAAAAAAAAAAACTCAGAAGAAACATTAAATTGATAAACAAATCTTAGTGAATTAGAGTAAATTTCTATACTATTCATGAACACATACTCCTGGCTAAAAGGACTTCAAAATGTTCAACTTCTAAATTAAAAACAATCAAGTATTACTACCAAAGTTTAGTTTAATCAATTGAATTTCCTTCCTGCATTCATTCTTTCAACAAATGTTTATTGAGCCATGTACTATGCCAGGCACTAGAACTGGCATTTTAATGAGGAAAGACAGACCATAATTCAGTAAATAATAAATTGTAGAGTGTACTAGAAGAGTTATGCTCTGAGTGCTAATGGAAAAACAATTCAAGCAAAAGGGATGAGAAGGGTATATAATGGTAGATGGTTTGCACTTTTAAATAGGATAGTCTCAGAAACTGTAATTGAGAACGTTACCTTTGTACAAAGATTTGAAGGAGGTGAAGATGCCACTCTGGAGAAGGCACTTCTAGCAGAGTGAACAGCATGCCTGGCATACTGGAAGGTAGTAAGAAGCCCAGTGTGGCAGAATAAATATGAACAAAGAGGAGAATAGATGAAAAGGGTGGATGGGAAAGAGAGAGAGACCATGAAGGGCCTCAAAAGCCCTGTGTAAGGACTTTGGCTTTAAATTTAAACTCTTGATGAAAGCCATTGAGTTTCACTTCACAGTTTAAAAACATGAGAGGACAGAACATTATAATTCAGTTCAATTCCATTGATCAAATACCCACTAAGATAGCAAAGCACTGAGGAATAAAGAAGAAAGGCATTAGTCTTTACAGAATTCAAGTCAGGAGACTTTTGTTTGCAGCCCCACGTATTAGCTTATCACTTACTAGCTGTTTGGTCTTAGATAAGTTCTTGTCATCTCTGATTCATGGCTTCATCTATAAAATGGGGACAAGAATAACAGCCCTGTTTAACATAGGTTAAATGTTTCAAGAATTATACAACACTACATTATGTTAGTTTTTTTCTTTTTGTTTTAACTCTGTGGATTGTAACTTCCTCTAAAGTGATTGAAATAATCCTAAAAACTTTCATACAAATTTTTAATAAATGTAGTTATGATTTTACAACATTAAGAAAGCTCTGTATTGGTAGTTAACTTGTGTTTTTAATGGAAGAATCCTTTGAAATGGTATTCTTTCAACAATCATTTAACTAGGCACCAGGTCTTACCCTGAACTGTGATAAGATACATGAAACAATCCCTACCGTAATGAGTTGTTTTGTGATGGGCCCACACACAAATAGATAATTTTAAAAAATTGTAGTTTCTGTTCCTGTGCAAGATGTCAAACTATATGTCCTCCTGGTTCCCTTCCTCCAACTCAACTCTGGAGATTATACAAAAGCAACAGATAGTATAAGGAGAAACAGAGAGAAACATTAAGTAACTGGCTTCCAGAATGTGAGGGAAACAGCAGTCAAGAGATAGAGAGGGCCAAGTGTTACAGACTGGGAAAGTCTTTTTAGTTGTGACCTTTTCCATTCTTCATATTGCTCTGGGCAGAGAATTCCCACCCCACACAATGCAATGAAACAGGAAAGCTCTGTTACCACCCCAGGGCCATCTGGAGGGTAAAGGAAATTATAACATCAGGTAAGCATGGGAGGGAGATGCAAAAGGGAGGAGATATGGGGATATATGTATATGTATAGCTGATTCACTTTGTTATACAGCAGAAACAAACACACCATTGTAAAGCAATTATACTCCAATAAAAATGTTAAAAAAAAAATCAGGTAAGCATCAGAACAGCTGGTTTGGGAAGTGGTAACAAGTACAGACACCTGCAAGGCCCCTGCGTGTTCTACCCTCGCCCTACTCCACAAACAGAACAGAGGATGGTAGGACCTGGAGAAGATCACGCCTCTAACCGAGTAAACAGGAAGTTCTTTTTGGAATCAACTCTTAAGCCATATCACCCCAAATCAAGCCCTTACGTCCCCACCTCTGCTCTCTGAAATCATCCAAAGAAACACAAATCAGAGCCTAATGCTTTCATTCTTCTCATCATGTAAATATTACTAGCTTATCACTTGGTACTCCCAGGAAAAAGATAACCAGATACTTGCAGAGTATGAGCATTATGAGAGAAAGGCAACAAACTGAACAATCTACACCACAGGAAACAGAATGAACAGACCAAAGGGAACACAAATTTAAAATAAACTTAATACATATCCACCAATTGAATGAGTACATTTTTGAAACTGCTGAAAGAAAAAACTCAAAGGATGAGTTAACTAGCAAAATGAATAGAAGGAAACATCATACTAATTGAGCAGTAAGTTCAGGTCTAGAAATTCTCCTAAAAGTATTAAAAAAAAAACAGAGTGGAAAATATAAACATTTTCAAAAAGCTAAGATACCAGATGAAATCTAGAAGTGTCAGAAAGTATCTAAAAGGATCCCCAGAAAGAAAGGGGAGAAAGTAAACAGAGTAAACACTTTTAGAAAGATTAAGATTTTTCCAGAATTAAAGGCCGAAAAACCCAGAAAGAAAAACAGTAGATAACACAAAAATCCAAACATGATGTGAGGAAGAAAGGAAGTAGGATGAAAATTGTAAAACCTTGAGAGAGAGAGAGAGACTAATTTTTCAAGCCCATTAATAAGCAAACAACAGAAAGAAAAATTAATCTAAAACTAAACTTTTGAAAAGCTAATAAAAAAATCTTCACAAGCATGATTAAAGAAAAAAGAAAAGAGAAATATAACATGAATAGGATTTTTTTTTTTTGGGGGGCACGCAAGCCTCTCACTGTTGTGGCCTCTACCATTGTGGGGCACAGGCTCTGGACGTGCAGGCCCAGCGGCCATGGCTCACGGGCCCAGCCACTCCGCGGCACGTGGGATCTTCCCGGACCGGGGCACGAACCCATGTCCCCTGCACTGGCAGGCAGACTCTCAAACACTGCGCCACCAGGGAAGCCCCGATGAATAGGATTGATAAAGGAGAAATGACCACATATAGATGAGCAACCAAAAGAAATATAAAAGAATACCACTTAAATCTTATGACAATAATTTTGAATATCTAAAGGAGCAGGTAATTTCACAGCAAAATTCAAATTACCAAAATTAACTCAAGTGAAGTAGAAAAATTTTTAAAAGACCAAGAAAAATGGAAAGGAGACAAAAGTTCTTCCATTGAAAATGGCATCTGGATCAGATGGATTCAAAGTTAAATTTTACCTAAACTTTGAAGAACTGTTAATTCTAATGTTAAAATACTGTAGGCCACATGAAAATAAAATACAAAGAACCCCAAATCATGTCATGAAGCTAACATAACCTTAATATCAAACCATGATAAACCTCAGACCAGTGTGACATGTGATTAAAGATGTAAAACTTATAAATAAAACACTAACAAACGTAATCTATCACTGTGTCAAAAAGAATAATGTACCATTGAAAAAAATAATAAGGTTTATTCTAGGAATTTAAATGTGATTCTATATTTATTCTTTCAATAAATATTTGGGAAGCTGTGCAGAAAAGAGCTAACACAGCAATATTTATAACAGCTGAAAGGTGGAAAAACAACCCAAATGTTCAACTAAAGAATGAATAAAATACGGTGTGTGTGTGTGTGTGTGTGTGTGTGTGTGTGTGTGTGTGTGTATACACACACAATGGAATATTATTCAACCATAAAAAGAAACGAAGTACTTAAACATGCTACAACATAAACACTGAAAACATTTTGATAATTGAAAGTCAGTCACAAAAGACCACACACCGTGGGCTTCCCTGGTGGCGCAGAGGTTGAGAATCCG